CATCCCACAGCTCGTCTGGTCTTTGGTCATTAATGTTAAACGTGTCAAATCTATTCTTGAGATGGTCTCCAAATTCACGTGGGATATACTCAAGGTTGTATTTTGGTTCTCATGGACTTGTTAGAATTTTCTTCAGCTTCAACTTAAACTTGCATATGAGCAATTGGTGGTCTGTTCCGCCCTTGGCCCCTGGCCTTATTCTGACTGATGATATTGAGCTTTTCCATCATCTCTTTCCACGGATGTAATTGATCTTATTCCTGTGTTTTCCACCCGGCGAGGTCCATGTGTATAGTCACCATTTATGTTGTTGAAAAAAGATATTTGCAATGAAGAAGTTGTTGGTCTTGCAGAATTCTATCGTGTAATCTCTGGCATCATTTCTATCTCCAAGGCCATATTTTCCAACTGCAGATCTTTTTTTTCTTCCAACTTTTGCATTCCCATCACCAGTAATTATCAATTCCTGTTGATTGTATGTTTGATCAATTTCAGACTGCAGAATTTGGTAAAAATCTTTAATTTCTTCATCTTTGTCATTAATGATTGGTGTGTAAATTTGAATAATAGTTATATTAACTGGTCTTCCTTATAGGCATATGGATATTATCTGATCATTGACAGTATTGTACTTCAGGATAGAACTTGAAATGTTCTTTTTGATGATGAATGTGATGTCATTCCTCTTCAATTTATCATCCAGGCATTTTAGACCATATGATTGTCTGATTCAAAATGGCCATTACAGGTCCATTTCAAGTCACTAATGACTAGGATATTGACCTTCATGCATTCCATTTCATTTTTGATGACTTCCAATTTTCCTAGATTCTTACTTCGTAAATTCCACGTTCTGATTATTAATGGATGTTTGCAGCTGTTTCTTCTCATTTTGAGTAGTGCCACATCAGCAAATGAAGGTCCTAAAAGTTTTACTCTGCCCATGTCATTAAGGTCAATTCTACTTTGAAGAAGCAGCTCTTCCCAGTCATATTTTGAGTGCCTTCCAACCTGAGGGGCTCATCTTCTGGCACTATATCAGACGACGTTCTGCTATTATTCGTAAGGTTTTCACTGGCCAATTTTTTCAGAAGTTGATCGCTACATGCTTCTTCCTAGGCTGTCTTAGTCTGGAAGCTCAGCTGAAACCTGTGATGCTGGAAGCTATGCTACCAGTATTTCAAATAAAATTATAGGAAGGCATATTAATTGCTAAAAATGTAGGTTAAGAGAATAAATCACATGAAGACATAATGTTTATGGAAGTGATATTTTTAATATTCAAAAATTTGAATTAATTCACAAACCAAACAGGTTATTTTGAGCAAACTGTGGCATAAGGATATGTTGGCGTCCTTCAAAAGCTAGAATTATGACCCAAATGTAAAGAATCTTGGTACATGGAAATTCACATACAATATATACCTATGAAAGAGTAACAACTAATATAAGTTAAAAAGATAGAACTAAAAACATTGGTGCACATTAATTTAAATAATGAAAGATGCATACCTGTCAAGAAATTACGAGAGACTTTAGGATGGTATAAACTTTGTATTTTAAATTTAGTAGGTAAATTTTTACTGTAAGGTACACAGGAAGCATGGTTTCAAAGGTAGACTGAAAGCTTCTCAGCATATGAATTCAGTAAGTAGGGGATCCCATATTAAACCCCACAATGTTCTCCAAAAGAGTGATTTTACAGGGTCCCTTCTAGTTTTACAATGTAGGCCATAGGTAATTCCTTACCAGCATTTCTTGAAAGTGAATTCACTTCGCGGTTGCTGCTCAGCTTTTGTTTTAACAAGGACTACCCCAACAAAAGCTAGAATTTATTGAAAACATACTATATACTAGGAATTAGTCCTTTGAATGCTTATATTCATACCTGATTTAATGATCACAATCAATGCTGTACACACATTATCATATTTAAACCTCTTAACAGCACAAGGAGGTAAGTTATACTTGCTTTGAAAAGTTAAGTAATTTTCTAAGGGCACACTGCTTACGAGTAAGTGGCAAATTTAAGATGTGGACTTGTTTAGTCTGGCCCTAGAGCCCATGCTGCCTATCACTTTGCTAGACAAAAGAGTTGATTCCGACTCATAGTGATCCTACAGGACAGAGTAGAACTGCCCCATATGGTTTCCCAGGAGCGCCTGGTGGATTCGAACTGCAGATCTTTTGTTTAGTAGCCGAACTCTTAACCACTATGCCACCAGGGTTCCCCGACTTTGCTATATACTATCTTCTATTGTCAAAAGATAATGTGTTGTTTTAATGTAAGATAAATAGGGAGGAGGCGAGCTGGATGTCAACAACTGACCTCCACGGGAGAGGATGTTACCTGCGCTAATCACAACCTGTGTCACTGCAGTGTCCTAGTGAAGTCACTGGACCAAAGCTCTGATATATTAAAACAAAAATTTTATTGAAGGAATAATTTTCATTCCACAAGAGAATACATGTTCAGGTCAACTGCTACGGCGTGTTCTGCTTTGCAGGCGGAACAAAAGTATTTTAACAGGCGGTATATGGTTCACATCAGACAGACATAGAGGTAAAAAGTGGGAGTGGGGAGATTTATGCAGGGCAATTAGCTACAAACCTTTTTCACATCAATTTCTAGTCTAACACAGTCTCTCACTTTTGATACAATTTAACGAAGGCAATACTTCTAAAGTTAGAAGTATAAAGATTCTTGCCATGGAGGTTTAGTGATGTATTTGTAAGCCGACACAAGCTTAACTGGAATGAGAGTCTTTGGATATAAAATTAACCATTAGTTAGGAAAAAGTAGAGATTAGATCAGTTTTAAAATCCAAGTCTTTTGAAATGTAAAAACTTGCTAATTCAGATAAAGCGGAAGGAGAAAAAGTCCGGGAGCCTGCTGGGGAAATTCCTTGGAGGTAATTAAAAACAACAAGTTTATTTACAGCTCTAACTTATTTAACATCTCAATAAGAGCCTCCCCCGCCACCCCAAACATGCATAATATAACAGGCACTGAGCTTTGTTTTTCAACTGGTAAAACCTTAACAGAAGCCGAATGTTTATTGGGAGAGCAGAGGTGAAATTCTCAGTTAATTTCAGAACGAAGCGCCTAACGTTAGTTCTGAAATCTCCCCAAATTCAGACATACTGGCACCTCAGACTTTAAAAATTCACACACAGCAATATGCAACCCCATACCTTAAAGGAAACAAAGACATCAAGAATAAAAATCAGCACCGCGTAGTAGTATTTTGAGTGCCTTTGAATGATCGTGTTGGCAAAGAATATTAAGTATACCATGGACTACAAGAAGAATGAGCGAATCTGTCTTGGAAGAAGTACAGCCAGAATGCTCCTTAGAAGTGAGGATGGCGAGACTTCTTCTCACTTACTTTGGACATGTTATCAGGAGGGATCAGTCCCTGGTGAAGGACATCATGCTTGGTAAAGTAGAGGGTCAGCAAAAAAGAGGAAGACCCTCCATAAGATGGATTGACACAGTGGCTGCAACAACGGGCTCAAGAATAGCAACGATTGTGAGGATGGCACAGGACTGGGCAGTGTTTCATTCTGTTTTACTTAGGGTTGCTGTAAGTTGGAACTGACTCGACAGCACCTAACAACAACAATGGTAGTGTTTTAATTTCTTATAGAAACTTATTGGTAAGGCTGTACCTTATTGTGCAGATTTTGCCACAACTTTTACTGACCTAGGTTTCCAGGTCTTTTTTTGCTTCCATCAGTAATAATCAATGTACTATAAAAATATTAGCCTGAGTTGATCTGGGCAGAATATGGAATAGTGTGACCTAACAATTGACCATTAAGTTATGAACTGGTTATGGTGGGCCTTGGATTCTAGGATTAATAGTTTAAATTTTATTCTGCAGGCAGTATAAAACCAGTGGAGATTTCTGATGGGATGGTAGTGATGGTGACATACCATATTCTGTCAAGATTAATCTGATGGCGGTGTAAAGAACGAATGCAATGGAGAAGGAGAGACTGAGGACATGAGATTAATTAGGAGGGGGTTTCAATCATTCAAATAGGATATTATGAAGTGTCTATAAAAATCATTCTTTCCTAACTCCATGATTTTAACCATCCCATTGGGGTTCAGCACACATTAACTGGTGCCAGGTACCATGCCAAGTGATAAGCATTGGGACTACAAAGGTGAAAAAGACTTGGAAAGATTGCTGCAAAAAGAAGAATGAAGTTTTCCTGTGAAATTTAAGGCAGCAAGAGGACTGTGGGTCTTGGATGCTTGGTGAAATATTGTAGTGAGTCTACCTAAAGACCTATCCCTGTCAAGCCCTTCTCAGTCCTCATTCCTAGTCATTCAGCATGATGTCATCACAGACCTGGGGAACCTCAGTGGCAGAAACACTATTGGTAGAGATATAGGCCATCAAGGTCACAGCGATTGTGGGCCAAGTGTTGGCTTTCCTTGGAGTTTTTCATTGGCTACATGCAACATCCCAGTCAGACACTCCCTTCTTTTGGTCATGAACTGTCTCATGTTGTTCAAAAGTATTCAAGCACATCGTTTATCATATTATAAATCTGGATGGCTATGATGTTAGAACATTATGATTGTAAGAATTTAAGCTAAAGACATTACCTGATGATGAGTTTGCTCTGATTCAGTCCTATAGCTTAGGCATGAATATTTCAAGTTCAGATCACAGGTACTGGAAATGATGTCTCCTATTTCTCTCCCTCTCCTACTTCTGCTTAGCGTGGTAAAGGCAAATGGGTGGAGAGTCCCACGTTGGACTACCACTAAACCAAACCAAACCAGTTGCCATGAAGTTGACTCAGACATGGAGACTCCATGTGTTGCATAGCAGAACTATGCTCCACAGGGTTTTTTACCGCTGTGACTTTTTGGAAGGAGATCACCAACCCTGTCTTCTGAGGTGCCTCTGGGTGGGTTCGCGCTGCCAACTTTTCTATCAGTAGTCGAGTGCTTAACTGTTTGTGCCACACAGGGAATTCTAAGGAGAATGTATTTTCCTAACCTAAATGAGCTTTCTCAGGGAAGACTTGATGTCTTGGTTCCTTAAACTATAGATAAAGCGATTCGGCATTGGGGTCTACGGTGTGCATCACTGATGCAACCATGCCCTTCTGTGCTGAGTGGGTGGAAGTCTCAAAGAAAAGAGAGACTACAGAGAGATGAGAGCTGCAGGTGGAAAAGGCTTTCCGCTTTCCCTGAGCTGAGGGGATCTTCAGGATCGTGGAGAAAATATACACATAAGAGATAAATTAGGCAAAGCACACAAAACAGGCCTGCCAGGCCCGACTGTGAATGTCACCAGCTCATTGATGAAAAGGTCTGTGCAGGACAGACTCAGGAGGGGGTTGATGTCACAGAAGAAGTGTGGGATCTCATGGTCTGCATAGAAGGACAGATTGTTCATCAGGAGTGTGTGTAGGAGGGAGTGGAGGAAATTCATGATCCAAGATGCATTGACTAGGAGGACACAGAGCCCAGGGCTCATGACCGTGATGTAATGGAGTGGGTGACATATGGCCACGTAGTGGTCATATGCCATGACAGCCAAGAGGAACGCCTCCAGCATCACAAATAACATGAAAAAATACTGTTGAGATAGACACCCTGCGTACAAGATGACTTGATTCTGGGCCCATGTGTTTGCCAGCATCTTGGGGACTGTGGTGGACACAAAGCACGTATTAGCGAGTGAGAGGTTGGCCAGGAAGAAGTACATGGGGGTGTGGAGTTGAGCATCAGAGATGATGGCCAGAATGATGAGGAGATTGCCTGCCACAGTGACCAGGTACGTGGTCAGGAACAGCCCAAAGAGGACTTCCTGGTGCTCCTTCTGCTTAGAGAACCCCAGGAGAAAAAATTCTGAGACACTGGACAAGTTTTCCCATCTCATCCCTGGAAGGAGAAAGTTGAGTCAGTTGTCTAAGGTTACTAATGTTTGGATTGTGAGCTCTGAAAATCATGCAATATTCCAATCTTGATCTTCTAGCGTTAGGATGAATCATATGAAATTTCCAATATCGGACTATTTGGAACCTACAAAAATGGCAGTTTCATATGGTTCAACTGAATGGTTGCAATGTCTGTGCTCTTGGCGTCATGGGAAATCAAAGATTTGTTTTCAGTGGGAGGAAAGGCTTTTCATCTTATTATATAAGCTTTAATCCAATACAGATATCTTGAGGTGTTTGTTGGCCTAGCTATTATGCTGTTTACATGGATGTCTTGAATGAATAAACCAAGATTTCACAGATTAATTCAGTCTTTCACATATTTTTCCAATAGTTCAAAAACTATGGCTACTGGAAAAGGGGTTTCGGAATTGGTAAAAAGCAGGTGAACACTGAAATCATTATCACCACCATCTACTGAGTTGGTTTGACCAGAAACCTGGACATCATCACTGGCCTCTTTTTCTTCTTCACCTCCCACAACCAAATAATCACCAAATTCTAGCAATTTTACTTTCTCAAATAGCTCAAAGTTACCCACTTCTCTCTGTCCCCGTTGCTACTACCATAAATGAGGGCAGCATGATTTCTAACTTGGATTTGGGTAATTTTCTTCCTGCCTCCAGTCATGCCCATCTGCTGAGTCCCTTATTACAGCGAGAATGAGCTTTCTGTAAATCAAATCTGATTTTGTCTTTCCACTTGAGAAATCCTTCAAGAGCTCCCCATTACTCTCAGGATAAACTCTAAACTTCTTAACATGGTCTGGTGGTTCTTGGGCATCACTTGCACTTATTACAGACTGGCCCCATCTTCCCCCATCCCTCAAGAACCTCTCTTCTCCAATTTTACTAAGCCACTTTTGATTACTTACTTCTGGGCTTTGGCCCATGTTATTTTCTCTGCCTGGATAGTCTTCCCTCTCCCATTCATTAGTCTGTGTCAAACATCAAATCTCAGCTTAGATGTTACTTCTTCTAGGAAGACTTCCCTGACCCATCCTTCACAACAAGCTCATGTAAATGCCCTGCCTCATGCCCCTGTACCTCCACAGCCCCCCTCACCCCAGCAGGTGTCACCTGCATTGTAACCGCCTGTTTTCCTGTCTATGTCCTTCATTCTATTGACAGCATCACGGAGACTGGGCAGAGAAGGCACCTATCTCGTTCTTCTTTGATATCTGGCATTCACACTGAGCCTGGTACAACATATGCTCAGTGAGTATCTGGCATGTGGACAAATAAACCTCAACAAATGGAAAAGAAGATTGGATAGAGGTGATATCAGGCAAGGGGAAGAGCATGAGCTTTTTGTGTGTCATTTCACATGTTGCTGTGAGTTAATGGAGTCCTAGTCATTCCTGACCACAAGAATAAGTAGGAAATATTATGGTTATAGAGACATAAAGAAGCCAAACAAAACAAATGATCAGTATTTCAGCTGAGGAATTAACCCACAGAATCAGTTTTCCCTGAAGCTTTTTTTTTTTTTCCTCCAAAGTTAAGCATATCCTGGGAGTCCATCAGCCCTATTTGTATCCTCCTTGAGCTTGTCTCTTGCTGAGCTCTGACTCAGCAGAATCAGAAGCCTCAGCCCTAATTCACCTTCTACTTTTCCTCTTAGCTTTCCAAGTCTCAGACCAGGGACCTTACTTCCTCCTTTCTTTCCCCTTTTACCATACTTTCGTCCCCACTTTTAGGCCATCTCTTGCCCAAAGACTGCTCAGCACTTCACCCAAATATAAACCCCTTTAAATACAAAACCATTGCTTCTTACATGGGATCAATGGACATTTTTCCAGGCTTGTTATGAAGTACAACTCCTACAACTTAAAAAAGAAAAACAACTTGAGTGCTGTTTTAGGTGATATAAATTTCCTGTGGTTGACTGATTAAAATTTTTGGTGAACTCAACTTGGTTGCCCTCGGAACTTAGGTTCAGGTTTAAAAATGGAAATTGAATTTAGAGAACCCGTGTTCCCCCTTGATGAGGAGAAAAGCACCCATGGAAGACATAAATGAAGGTTAAAGGTAAGAAAACAGAGGGAATAAGGTATGGTTGGGACTAAAGTGATCAGGCCTCATCTCAAACACCTATCCCCATTACCTGTCCCAAATATAAACATTTTTTTTTATCCCATGCCCCAAAATAGTATGTATCTATATTGGTTAGTATGTTCACTAAAAAATCTGAAAGAATAACAGAAAACCAGTAACAGTGATAACTTGTTAGAGGGATGGGGATTTGGTGTCTGAGAGATAAGAGTGGAAGAGAGATTTTTCATGTGTATCTTTAGCACATATTGAGGTTTGAACCATGTGAATGTATTACTTATTAAAAAAATAATTAATTAAGGAAATCTTACCCTAGAAATCAATCATGGGCTCATAGAATGTGTATAATGGAGGGCAATGCAATATAATGCAGCCTCTCTTTTATGGAAGTTCCATAAATAGCAAAGAAACTTGTATAATTGATGCCACATTCTTTTAATGCCTTAATTCTGTGTGTGGGCCTGAGTGTGTATGCTCATGTGTTTGTGCACGGGTGTAAGTGTGCGAGTGCCTGTGTGTCTTCTGCATAGGGTGGGGCTTTGGTGAAAAGAATTATCATAAAATTACCTGGAGAGAAACCACTGTTGATTCCTTCTATCACAATGGCTCTCATTGCCTGTGAGATCTTAAGGTCCTGGGTCTCTGCCCCTTGTGGCTGCTAAAGGAGCACAGTATCATCATTGTTGTTATAGACTGTTTGCAGAAAGGCTGTGTGAGAGGTGGGCTTCTACCTGACCCTAGGCTGGGATGGGTAGAGGGGCAAAAGGGGAGAAAAAGAATTGAAAAGGAACTGTGTGTCTCCCTCTCCTAGTCCCTACCTGGATGTTCTTGCCATTCGCTGAGTCTATTACTGGCTGACTCTTGTTTCATATACATCTCTCCCACTGTGGATGACAAGAAGGTGATGAGAACTTCAGTTAAAGGCACCAAAAAGAAAATTGCTTCATGCACTGGATGTGTTGAATGATAATTATTGCCATCACTGCATCTTGTCCAATTTCTCCTTTGTCTCACAGTATTAGAAAAAATTTTGTCCACTTTTATTTTTGTCCACTCTTAGAATAAAGGAACAAGGGCTCCAGATCAGGACCCGGATCATGCCAGTATACACTATCCTTGGAAGGTGCATTCACAGAAAACCACAGTGAGCCTGATAACAGTCAAGTAGCCTCTCTTTTCTACTTTTCCAGAACTTGATGCTAATGTCTGCCCTTTCCCTGACTCATCAAAGCCCATGAGAAATGTGTTCTCATAATTTCACCAGTACCCCTGGAGTTAGGGTTCTGCTATTCTTAGCTGCAGTTTGGACCAATCTCAAGGTCTGTTAAATTGAAAATAATTAATTCTGTGAGGTACCAAATCCCAAGAGACCTGAGAATTCAGTGCTGTGTTGCTGCTGTGAGCTGGTCCAAGAGAGGCTAAGGCATTAGGGACTTGTCCATGACACTTCTACGGTCCCAGCAGGATTTGGCATTCCACACGCCAGCAGAACAGCTAAGTGAGTTTTGGTTGCTTCATTCAGCCTTGCGTTTTGGAGCTTTTCAGGGAAGTGCAGAAAGAGACCTTCAGCATCATGAAAAATGCAAGATAGGGTGAAACACTGTTGGCTCAGAGAGGACGCTACTGTCTTCTCTTCTTCTAGAGATGATAATCTTAGGCCAGGTTAAGGCTATGTCAGTGCTATTTTTACCTCCTCTGGACATTCCATATCATGTACATGCCAGCAACCCAAATCCCATCCTTGCAGATGTTGGATAAAATGTCGTTGGGGCAGGAAGGAGCTGAAATAACATTGAGCAAATGGAGTCCCTTCTTTCTCCTGTAAAACTGATTTCCTACTAACCTCCCATCTCCTAATCATCTAATCAGGGTACACAGAGAATATAGAAAAACAGACTATGAGTGACCCAGAAATATGGATTATTCTTGGAATCTGTTTGGAACAGTGTCCAATTTCTTATGTGTTCTAGAAGTGCTGGTATGACACATCCTTAAATCAGGAGGTTACTGGTTTAAGTATATTATTCCCCTTGATTGAATAAAGTAACCACTGTGTAACTGCATGTTAAGAAAATCCAGTTTAATTTTTTTCTGTCGTGGATGGGCAAAAAGAAAAGAGTGACCTGGTCATTTTAAGAAGAAAGTAGAAGCATGTGACAGCCAGACTGTCTGCCAGACATGTAACACTTATCACATGTGGTATTCGATGCTCATTATTCATTGACTAAAGTGAAATAGCAACTGGCACAGCTGAATGAACCTAAGCTGAGAAGAGAGTGATGTGATGTTGGGGCTAGAAAAATGATCTGGGCTGAGTTCCTCTTCCTATACTACTTCCTCTGTTTTCGATTCTGGAGAGATGGGAGCCCCAATCCAACTCAGGTTTCCCCAGTTTGACCAGACGAACACCCCCGAAGACCTCCTTTACCTTTCTTTCTCAGTCTTAAAGTTTTTTTAAATATATATTTTTATTATTGTAAATATGTATAAAACACAGTATTTGCCAATTCAGCATTTTCAGGTGTACAATTTAGTGATATTAATTACATTAATCATGTTGTACAACCATCATCCATAATCATTGCCAACTTTCCCATCACCATAAACAGAAACTCAGTGCTTTCTAAACAATGACTTCCCCTTTCCCCTTCCCTCCCACTGCCTGTAACTACTAATAAACTTTGTTCTATATACATTTGCCTATTCTTGTTATTTCATGTAAGTTAGATCATATAATATTTGTTCTTTTGTGATTGATTTATTCCACTCAGCATAATATTTTGAGATTCATCCATGTTGTATCACGTATCAGCGCTTCATTTCTCTTTATGGTTGAGTAGTATTCCATTGTATATATGTACCACATTCGTTTATCTGTTCTTCTATTG